ATCGCTTAGGCGGTTACAGCGCCAAATAAGAAGAAGAAGAAGAAAGTCTTCGTTGTCCATGTGATTAGCATGTGCTAAGAAATAGTCTCGCATTTTCTGACGAACGTGTTGTTTTGGTTGTTGTAGCAGCATACAAAGGATTTTTGTGGAGTGTTGCTGGAGTGACAGTCCTTGGCCAGATATAAATCTGGGTCGTTCCGGTTACGTAGAGCCGACTGTCGTGGGGACGTGTCATTTTGTGTTGTGTCACTTTTCAAGGCCGCGTGCGATATTTGTACATAATCTGATAGCAGATATTAAACACCAGTACAAGTATGTATTATACTAACCGGTACAATAAAACTTAAAAAAAAAAAATATTTGGAATTAATAAAACAGCCTTTAGTATTTAAAATGTTTCAGGGTTTTACGCATTACAATTGTTTTAACTAAGTACCGCAAACTGACAACTTTCTAACCTTTTCCAACAACAAAACTATGCATAAATATGTTCATACAGCATCTGTATGGACGTGTAATTCGTTTCTGAACATTTAAACTAATCATAAATAAAAATTACTGAATTGTGTGTGTATATATATTATTAAATATATTTTACTTATTAGTCCTTAATTTATAGATACACTATTCGATAACGACGCGTATTATAAAACGTACGGTCATCAATAACAAGAAAAAAATGCTTAGAGCTGATATAACAACTATAAGGGTTACACAATGTTTCCAATTCTTGTAATTAAGATACAAATATTTATTGTTGTGTAAATATTGCAAACTTAAATAATGAAACTATACTCTGGTTTATTCTTAATGGGCATACATATGTATGTATGTACATACAAACATCTTTACTATTCTTGTTTTAAGAATATAGTATAATAAAAGAATTTTTAAGATGAAAGAAAGTTGTGCGCTTGAGTAAAAGTTTTAAAAGTATATTTACCAGGGACCGTAAATAACAGTTACTTTTTTTCAACAGCTAAACTTGGCCAGATATTTTTAAGTCGAAAATAGAAGTCCTTTCCTAATAATAAACAAATCGCTTATCCAAATTAAACAAGTTTGGTATCAACTGAAAGAGGACTAAAATAGCTTTAAAACTGAAATATTTAAACGAAGAAAGCCAGTCTTTTAATTATCATGGAACAAACCTTGGATCAGGTATATGTATTTCTTTTGTATCGTTAATTCTATTCAAAAGCTATTTAAGCTATTTATTGGTACCAAATTTGTTTAATTTGGATAAGCGGTTCGTTTACTATCCGGAAAGACTTTTATTTCGAACTTAAAAAATATCTGCCCAAGTATAACTGTTCGAAAAAAATAACGGCTATTTACGGTCCCTGACATTTACGTTTATGGGCATACATACATATGTATGTATGTACGTATGCATGTATATCATACCATACAACTATATTGAGAAGTAAAGATAAAAGTTTCTTCTACTAATAACTTAGTTTATGCTATCGCTGCTAAAAAAAGCACATATGGACGGAACAGTTTCAGTGCATATAATACATCGTATATCTATAATTTTTGAAGTCAAGTAATTTTTTATGTCATAATAAATTTATCAGTTCGCCGATGCACCAAAGGAATTCTTTAATGAAGTCTCTGTTTACAAAAAAAAATTAATGTGCATTTTCATCGTGATTATTTCAGTTTCGGTGACTTCGTGAGCCTATTAATAAAAGCCTCAGTGGATTTTATTTCTTAATAAGTAGAATAATAACATTCAGTTTTCCTGGCTCGATTGTATATGAAAATGTGCAATTTCTTGTTATCATTTGCTAATAAAAGCCAAACTAAATATATATGTATGTATGTATACAATGCAAAGAAAAATAACGATAAGTTTTTGCATCGATCGATACCCTTATGGTAGTTAAGAATGACCAACAATGTCCGAGGCTTTGATATGTCTATATTATTGAAAATCCTGCACTAATTTCCAAATTTATAAAAAAAAATCCATCCAAGATTAGAGCGCAATAAGACAGTATATCTTTGTAAGTATTGTTTTGCACTGCTATAACGTTGTTAAAGAAAAACTTGCCATTTTATTTCCATATGGAAGACCAAATACTACAGCTATCAACTTTTTTTTTTCAACCATTGGATATACTTTGAATAATTTTTTTTTATAATTATGTACATATAACGTTTTTGATTGGTTTGAAACTATTTTTTATGTCTATGTAGTTTAAACACCTAAGCATTTTTTATACGCAGTCTTTTCGCATGTGTGCATTGTTCAATTATAACCCAATGGTTTTTTTTTGCCCTAGAGTCCTCAATATTTGACAGCAAGAAAACATTTACCTTAAATTATATTTGTTAAACGGTTCTCACACCTCTGTACTGTGCGTTTGTATTCGAACCTTTTTTACACTATTACTGCGATGCATAGGCGGTGAACTACCAGATCCTGAGAAGCCCGGATTTTGGATACCCAACGCAGGATCTCGAGGAGGACGCGGTTTCTTCAAGCTGGAACGGAGTGGTGAACGTGTTACTGATTCCATTGTCGAGCCGTTTGAAACGCTGGTCATAGTAGTAGACATGGATGCCACACTACCTCCGTTACGTATACTGCTATAAGGCTTTCCAGATGCATCAGTGACAGAAACTCCTAAAATATAAATAAACATGCAAGTTATTTTAGCTTGCCAGATACAGTGTACGTTAAGCAGAGTGACCCAATCCGATTTCTAAGCTAAAGACAATAGCTAGGGGAGAAATTGGTCTACATGACTTCAGTAAACTTGTGAATCACTTTTCGCATTATTGAAGTACCACAACCTCTGCTAGAAATAGTCCTTTCATCAATTAGATACTAAAATTTGAATCCTTTCAGTTCCTATTGTGTTTAACATCAGAATGGTCTGAAAATTCTTAGTGTATAGAATGTGTCCGCAAATAAATTAGTGAGAGCGCTTCAGGCCGCTCATTCCATATTATCGATTTAGATGATGATCATATCACAGACGCGGACGTCGCAAATTTGTGTGCTGTTAAGTCATCATTAACTTTGGCTGTTTGGTTTTTACTGTAAAATTGTTAGGGCTGTTAGCTTATCTATTAACGATTTATCTATAGTTTAAAATAGATACGTTTACGGCCCTTAATATGCTAAATTTGTTAAATGGCCCATCAAGTCGATTGACCGTGTATGTTCCCACGACAGTCGGGTCTACGTAACCGGAACGACCCAGATTTATATCTGGCCAAGGACTGTCACTACAGCAACACTCCCCAAAAAGTCTTTGGGGAATTTGTATGCTGCTACAACAACAACAACAACCGTATATGTTCTTGTGGTGTATGTACCAGCTGCTGGTGCGACTTCAAAAACTAAGTATTTGAAATATTTATGATTGTACCAGCATGCTGGTGTCGTGAGTGGTGAAATTAGCTCAATTTTCTAAGTAAAAAGTATTTTGGCGGAAATTTCTTTCACTATATGAGTCAAAGCCGTGTTTGTGGAAAGATTAAGTTCACGATTAAGATTAAGTTCAGTTGTGAATAAAAAAACAAAAACAATGTTTAACAAAATGGTAGAAAGATTATGAAATTTCGGCTCTATTCATTTCGATCTTTCCTCGACCTCATTTGTAAAGAAATAAATATTTTACCAGCATGCTAGTAAGTTTAAAAAAAAATCTCTCTCAGCTCTCTTGACCGGAAAATCTGCGATGACGTCATATTCACGTTACTCTCCCGAATTTCACATCAATCTTGAATTCTATCGGTCTTGGGTACAATCACTTGATGGAGCCAGCAAGCTGGTATATGTTTCCCCTTTTATACAAAAATGTTTTTGGGTGGATAAAATATTAGCTTTTTCCAGAGTTCATTGTTTTTCTATACCACTATTTATTGAAAATGTTTGCGTGTATACTTATATATGTATATGCAAGTAAAAAATTTTAGCTTCCATTTTTAGCCACAACGACTTTTTTAGCTCTTTTTTAGCCCCTTTTTTAGAGGAATTTGGCTACCACTAAAAATTATTCGCGGCAACACTGCTGCGTATAGCTCTCGCTGTCAGACGCACAACAGACGAATTCTCCTACCAACCTCTTTTCTGTTTGACATAATCTTCGGTACTGTCGATTATCCAATACTATTAGGTAAAAATAATTTCAGCGTTCCTTGCAGAATGTTACGACAATTTGATGGTATTTTATGTTGTCATCAGTAAGACTGTATATATATTTTATGCCCCGGTTAATAGAACTCTCGTTGAATTGAATAAGCTCTTTGCTTGTTGAGACCTTGACCTCTCAGCCACTAAACCTGGTTTTAATTCCCACGTAAAATCATTATTGAGTAAAGATCGTGCCCTTTAACACCTGCTATTATGTATTGTAATAATATTACTTTTAACTTTACCTATGCTGCTTAGTCTGTAAGAATTGCAAATTCATAGACAAAGCGAAAAAAATAAATAAATATCAATCTGCAGTTGTAACCTATTTTTTCACAAATTTTATTTTCACTTCGGCAAAATGACGATTAGCAGTTTTCAAACCAGGAATTGCGTCACCCTGATTTGGGTCGAAAGTGTTTCATTTCTGAAATCATGAAAATAAATTTCTTCCCTTGTCATTGTCTCTAGCCTCAAAATCGACTTTGATGTCCCTGCTTAATGTACATACATACATATATTCAAATTTAATTCCAAAAAGTCTACCATTTCTTGAGCGTGGTTCTTTGTAGCCAGGATTGTTATATGTCGTTGCGCTGGCCGGTGATGTTGCATCCACAATCATAGTGGGGTCTCCGCCTGGGCGACGTGAAAAAAGAACATCGTAGAGTGCAACAAGAAAAAGTCCAATCGTTAAAACTATAACCACAATCTGAAAAATACGTTTTGTTTTTTTATTTCAGCAGAGATGTAATTGCCTTTTTACAAACGAAAGTTAATTTAAAATTAAAACCCAATGCAGTATGTATAAAGGCCTTAAAACTTGAGCTCGCTCAGTTATAGAAAGTATGAGAATCGGAAATGTTTTAATGAATTGTTGCAAACACACTTTAAGTTTGATACTTTTGACCCAGATTTTAAGTTCTTTGGGCGGGTTGTTAAATAATGATTTGTTAAATCTTCGTGGCTTTGTGAGACTGCCAAAAATTTTTTTTATACATACTCATTTACTTTAATAGTGTCATAACTCAAAAAAGCAACACTCGAAGTAAGCGGCTTTAAGGTTTTGAATTTGCATACATACGTATACTCCCATAGTAAAAATGTATACGTATTTTGTTCTAGGGAGATACAGGGTGTGTTCGAGCTAGGTAATAATTACCTCAATATTGCAGCCTTGTTGCTTTCTTGTTGCTCAATACTGAAATTTTTCTGCAGTACTACAGAAATTGCGCCGTAAAAATGTTTATGTTGCTTTTGATTTTCCAGTGATGAGCAACTGATTCGTCAAAATTTCGTTCCTCGAACGCTTGATATTGGCAGAACCACACTGCCGCATTAATTGCAGCTCGAATACACCCGCAATGGAATTGAGGTAGCGGTAATTTCTGCATACTTAACTCAATTTTTGTATTTTTTGAATTATGAAACTATTGAAGGAAATGGGCGATATGTACTACATACATATATACAATATTTATATGTAAATACAAAAAAAAAATTAGCCTCCGTACATTTTTTAAGGGTGCATTTCTTTATTCATTCTGAACGTTTGGAATAAACTTTTTTGTTTATTTATTCTTTAGAACGTTCCTGATGATATGTTGACGTATATTTCAAACGCATTCTGTTTATTGCGGCTGTGAAATGGGATTATCCGGAATGTATAAAGAAAGGGTGCGTTCCAAAACGTCAAAATACAAAGCATCAGTCTCTTTTATTTCTAAGCCACACTAGAAGAAAAAGCCTAACTTGCGCAACCTGGTAGAAAACTAGCATCTAGTTGTCGTTTCGCACATTTGGCATTAAAATCTACTGAGGTCTAGAAATAAAAGAGACTGATGCTTTGTATTTTGACGTTTTGGAATTCACCCAAACGCAGCCTAAATGTTTGCCTTACACCTCCTTCGAATTGTAGAGGCCACATCTACACGCACGGCGTACTTACCTGCAAATAAAATGATATACCACGAGATATTCTAAATCCATATTTTTCCGACTCATCGATTTGCAGGGCGAACATTATTGTTGCGATTGTCGCCAACAAACCTGTAAACAAAATTTCTGAAATACATATTCTCTAAAAGTAGGGTTATCCACTTACATGAAATCAGCGCCAAGATCATCTTAAATATCACCAATGTTGTGTATCGCATTACAACTTTTTCTCGAGAAGATATCATCGCTATTTGTATTATTGATAAAATGCAGAAGATTCCTAAAGTCGCCGAGCTCATTATGGCTAATAACCCACTTACATTGGCGGCAGCTGAAGAGAAACAGAATAGAGTGTGATTTTGCATTCCTTCTCCAATAGGACTTATACTGCAAATACTTACTGGAAAGTCGAAATTTCGAAACATCGTTGCCACATTTTT